CTCGTTCTGCATATCAACGAGTCAGTTTGATTCGCCTTGATTCGTGTGCACTCGTTCCGGTCAACTTTTCAACGGAATGGAATTAGTTTGAACGGAGGTCACCATTACATCCAGCACATTGAAATGAGTCACGATATGGTCTTTTTATTTGTTTCTGAGCTGCAGAAACTCAGTTTGATTTTGTCTCGAACCGCGTGCGTTGGTATCAGTTGAATTTTCACTAGAGTGGAATTTGCTTGAACAGAGATCATCGTTGCGTTCACCACATCAAAACGAGTTGGGATGTGATCTTAGATCATCGATCGGGGTTCAAATAATTGATAAACGAGGTATCACCAGACTTCAACCACTAACGACATGACGGCGGCGACGGCTACTGTAGTAGAATTTCACGGCCGATTTGGGTCCTTTTCCTCCATTTTGAACCTTTTGAATCCAATGGTGAGGTCAATTTTACCAAATTACATCTCTAACCTAGCAGATTGGACTCGACAATGTTAGAACATTTTGACCACTCGAATCTTACATTTCCGACCATGGAACCACAAAATTTACTTGGGGGTTATGTTGCCCATGATTTTTTGAGCATTTTGAAAGCAAAAACTCATCGATCTAACGGTTGGAACCAACTCTTACCTCCTCGGGCGTCGGCGAAGGATTCATTTTCTGGCCAATTGGTGACGGCGGAGGCTAAAACTAGTAAGGATCAACCCGTCTTTGAGTTTTGAACGTAGTAGTGAGGGTGGTGTCAACCACAGCTAGCTGGAGATGGAAAAACAAAGGCGGCAACAAGCGAATTTTACGGTGACTTTGACAACGATGTTCTGGTCAGCGACGAGCTTCTAAAATGGTCAGATTTTCTTCATATCTTCATTCTGAATCCATAGGAACTGGAATCACCTTGATCGGATATCGGATGGTGGAGATATCTCGTCAGGAATAAATGGGTTTTTCTGGGACTTTAACCAGGGAGTACGACAGTTTCCGGCAGAGTTAGATATCATGTTGCATGTCATTGAACTCATCTCGTTGAGATCTTTCCATTGACACCAACTTTGTCTAAAACGGAGGTCCAGATCTCAAATTGAGTTTTTGGCCATGGGTGGTTTTAGAGGGAGAAAGTACGAGAGGAGAGAGAAAGTGTGAGAGGAGAGAGAAAGTGATGATCGGATTTTTCTCCATTTTTGGCTGAAAATTGCTGAAAATTAGATTTCGTTATATTTTTCACTTCTTTTCGTATCATTATTCAATTGTTCTTAAACTTTCTTTCTTAGCAATCGAGTACTGCACTCCGAGTAATTTCGTGACATTGTAATTCTTAATCGTGTAACAGAATTGTACTAATTTCAAATCTTAAAACTAATTTAAAATTAATAAAAGTCTAAACCCGACTCGATCGGCATAAATTTCTCCCAAAATAACATAATAGTCGACATTGTCGATTCTCGTCCTTTGATCTTATTCTCAAAGATTCCCTTCAAACAGATACAATTTATATTGATTTGAGGTAATTAGCTTAGCTGGCATAAATTAATCTATTACTAACAGTTCGATGTTAATCTCTGAGTAATTTAATGTCGATTTCAAATCTAAATCGTGTAAACAATCAGACTGTTTCAAGTCTAAAAATTATTTCTAGACTAATTAAAATCTTAACTTGACTTTTCTGTATTTTACCTCAAAAATGACATAATTACTAACAATATCAATTCCCGAGCGCGGATAGCATTTTTTTTTTTTATCAAAAATGTTATTTACGTTAATCTGGTTGAACTAATTTGGTAATTAAGGCCTGCTTGTATGTTAGAATGTTTCTTAGTACATTGCTAACACTGTACTACTATATATAGAAATTCTTCTAATAAAAATTCTCAAGTTATTTTCGGATTAAAATTCTTTCTGACTTAAATCGCAGTGAGAATTATCAATCAAACTATTTGATCACAAAAAGTGAATTTAACTTAAACTTATTATAGAATTTTGGAATATTAATATTAATTCCATAAATCATTTATTTACGAAATCAAACATCATATTTTCTAGGAAAATCCTTGATTAAAATATGTAAATTATACTATTTAATTCTAAGATTTTCTTGGTCATTACAGTTTGTGAGATAAAGAGCCTTGTGAGGTTATTGAAGCTAACTATTGTTCGTCCTTCGGGAGAGGGATTAGAAGCTTTTGGAAGGAAGCGTACTTTCAGCCGAAGGGAGTTCACCATGCAATTTGAAAACGAGTGGTGCTCGCTGCCATTGAGGAGATTCTGCACATCGGTGACATTGTCGAAGAGGGAGTCTTTAAGTATATAAGTCTGATTGGTGATTGTAATAATTGATACTTAATGGATTACTCATTGTCTATGTGCGACCCTGCAGATGTGGGTGGTTACTGAACCGCAATACTAATCTCTGGCGTACTTTACTTATGTTTTACTTTCCTTCCATTGAGGAGATTCTATACAGCGACAACATTGTCGAAGAGAGAGTCTTTGAGTGTAAAGTTAAATTGGTGATTGTAATCATTGATACTTAATATATTGTTTCATTGTCTAGATGTGACCCCGCAAATATAAGTGGTTACCGAACCACAATACCAATATCTGGCGTACTTTACCTTATGTTTTATTTTTCTGCTTAATTAATTAATTGTTGCTGAATTTGAAAATCCAATTAACATCAGGCATAAAACAGATCTATCACCGTCAAACCGCAAAAACCAACCAAATTAAATCAAATTAAATAGTCTAGTTTTTAATTTTAATTGGTTAGTTTTGATCAGTTTAAACATTTTCTTATTGGTTTCATTAGAGTTTTATATATCTCAATCCGAGTAAACCGGCTAAATCAAACAAAATTCTTCTATACCCTTCTTTTAAAAAATATTTCTCATACTATTAATATTTCTCTCTATTTTCATACGTATTATTTTTCTTATAGTTCAATGATTTCTTTTTCTAGATTTTAATAAAATTTTAAATAATCAAAACTTTTTTAAAAGTTAACAGTTAGTTTTACAAGACCGACTCAAACATTTCACGTGTAAAGATTTATTTTAATTATAAGTTTACACCTATCGACTCAATCTGATCAAAAGCCGATATAAATGATTGATTGGATTTGGTTTCTCTAAAAGTTTCAAATCACTGAAAGTTATTTTTTTCTTTGGTTGGCGGCTTTCCGCTTGAAATCGATTAAATCGACCATAAACAACCCTTATAATTGAGGATAATTCTGCAATTTAAAAAATATTTTATTAGACATTCTTAGTTAATGTTACGGAGAAAACTGAAACAAAATGGAAGGTTTAGTTTGTAGTTTCTAAAAGTAGAAGGATAATATATGAAAGAATTAAAATTAGAATGTATATCCTTAATTCTTAATCTTTAAACTTTAAACTTTAATTATATTAAAAGAGTAGATGTTGCTCTACTGTTCATTTGGTCGTCCATGTCGCAACGTTTGGTGCTTTGTTTTTTTTTCCATTTATTTCTCTCACTTTGCACTCTTCACTCTTTTTTAAAATTTTTCCTTTCTTTTTTTATTTCCTTTTTTCCTTTCTTTATTTTTAATTTCTTTTGTCCACCGTATGCTCTTGTATCAATATTTCTCCATCTTTGTCTCATATTCCTCTTTTATTTTCTCTTTATTTCAACTCTATCGTTCTTTTGTGGATTTCTAAAACTTTAAATCTTAACTTTCTCATGGTAATGATCTCCTTACTCGATTTTGACTTCTATTATTTTTTTCATCCAATTCATGGTCAAATCCGTTACTAAACTGTACATTTAATTAATCTCAGAATATTTAGCCCTCTAAAAATTAACACTAACGAGCCAAAATGAAAGAGATGCGCATACTTTCAAAAGCTATTTATGCAAATAACCCTTTTTTTGTTTGTATCTCTAGGTGAGATTTTCTTATATTTATTCTTTTTATCCATATTCTACACTGTATATTTATTCTTTTTATCCATATTCTACGCTTTTTTTTAAGTCTTTTCATAATCTACTTAATAAAATACTTCAATTACACCTCTGTACATGCATCGCACATACCTCATCTTATACACACACACACACACACACACACACACACATATATATATATATATATATATATAACATCCTAAATCCTAATCCTATCCTAAATATATAAACAAGGGGATATGTGACTACTGTTCATTTCATGGTAATCCAAAACGGAAACAAAATGAGTTTTAGGTGCCTTATAATTTTCTTACCTTTTATTTGAAGTTTCAATTTAAAAAAAAAAAAAAATGCTATATGTGGTTAATGTTCATTTCATGACAGGCTATCTGACACTTACTTTTTTTTTTTCCTTTTCTTTTTAAATTGCAACTCCTTTTTTCACATATTTCTTTAAATAACATTTTCACTTACATTGCTATTAATTGTATATTCTTTTTTAGTTTCTAAGTAGATTTTTTTTTCTGTATATAGCTGTTTGTGCTCTATGTTATAAAAATTTCAACACAACTCCTAAACTAATTTATGTAAATACCCATATATTAAGTACTATTTTTAAATTATTTAAAAATGGCAATATTATGAATCTTAAGCGAAAAAAGTATGAGAATTAAATATTGAAAATTAACATACTATTAGATTTGCCAAAACAGGCCGGGCTAATAGGTCAACATATGAAAATGTGGTCATGTACGACACATCACGATTGTTAAGACATCGTTCACTTCGCGGATTTGAGTTTTCAATTCGAGCTGAGATGTAATATTTGCTAAGAGCTTTGTACTGTAACAGAAAAAGTTAGATGTGACATTTTCTGAGAGCTTTTTACTGTAGAAATTTAGAACTAAAAACTCAAATCGGTGAAATAAACGATGCCTAAAGGAGTCCAATCCAAGATGTTTGAATGAGTTGAGCTTGACAAAATCTTTTTGGCGCAAAGCACGACACGTTTGGAGTACAATAACGGCACACAATAGCACAATTATAAAATTATGAAAATTTTCTTATACAAGACTTTCATAAAAGGTTTAAGACTTTACTTAAGTTGTCCTCAACAACACAAAATCTCGTACTTCTCATAGACGTCCTTAACTTCCATTAACCTTCTTACAATCCGCTCTAATTTCCCCCTTACTTCCCGTCAAAGGGCTTATATTTCCCATATTGATCATCGACTGAGCGAAGCTGTCAAAGAAAGCACTTTGGTCGCTGCTTAAACTGTTGACAATCGAAACAGTCACAGAACCGGTCGTGGAAAACAGCTCTTGGTCCGACTGAAGAAGTCCCCGGTTGTTATGCAGATTGGTGAAGTATTTGTTGTCGAAAGTATCGGCCGAACTGGGATCAAGGTTGGTCAGTTTCGTTCCGTCGCCGTTTTGTGGACATGTTTGTTGCAGGGCGGCCAAGTATGAGGAGTCGAGTGTTGGGTCGGGATTTCCGCCGCTAAAGTTGTACAGACGGTTGCTGAACGTTCGGCACTGAGCTCGTCCGAAAGTGTGCGCGCCTATAAACGTTCGATAAAGTGCATCAGTTGAACTGATAAGTTAGGCCTCGTTCGTTTTGCTGATTCGAGTTAAGATGTGATTGTATGTGAGAGCTTTTTACTGTAGTAAAAATGTTAGATGTGATTGTTTGTGAGAGCTTTTTACTGTAGCAAAACTCGAATTTTAAACTCGAATCAGTGAAACGAACAAGGTGTTAGTTTCTGTTTTGTATTGATCAGCAGAAGACATGCATTTTAATATGAAAAGTGTTTGGTGCACCAGTGATATTGAGCAGTAATACTCTAACTAATAGAGTGTGGGTCCCACCAGTAACTAAATTTTTATTAGTGTGTGTGACGTTGAACGTCACTTATGCCGGGTAGCATTGTATTACCTGATAGTGCAACAAGATCTGTGGTATCTAGGCCGACAGCAGAGAATTTGGCCATTATGTTTGCTAAGCCTTCGGAAGGTGACGGAAGAGCAGTGTTGGCTTTGGCCCGGTTCGCGGTTAAGCTGTCCCTTCTTCCTAATGGTACGTCCCAAGATGGACCTCCTGACTGTAGATCATTTGATATTCATATGAAAAGAAACTTTGCAAGTCTATGCATTTAGGCATAAGTTTATTTTTCGTTACACAATGAGTTTCCCATGTGCTATAGTGTATATGCGAGTAATTTGGACTTATAAAAAGATACTTCTATTCCTTCTTAAAGAAACAATAGTCCGGTATGTGATTAGATAAAAGTTTGTGTTGGCATAAAACTGATTTAAATAATCAATGGTAGCGACAGGACACTTCTAATTTTTGACACTCAATTTATGATTAAATTAGAAGTTAATAAATAATGATAACCACCAGTGATCAAGAATAGAAGTAGTACTGCTTATTTTCTCACCAAAGACACGGAAGATTCAGCCGCGAGAGCGAGAATGTCAGCGCAGGATACGACACCCGAGCATGAATTTTCCACGGCCGTTTTAATGTTGTCAACGACATCGTAGCCTCTAGCGGAGTTGGCATTTGGACCGGCATCTTTCTCGCTCTGTATGCTGTCACTGTTGTCTAACAGCAATGAAGCATCACATCCCTACCATCGTGAACAAAATTTACATGCTCTTAGTCAACTACAAAACTCAAAAAAAAAGGGAAAAAAAAAAAGATTTGGAAAATCAAAGATTATGAGTACTGCACGATTATTTTATTTTATTTTATTTTTACCTCGACAAAGCAATCATGAAATGAAGATGAATGAGGCTAGCGCCGATCCGGGAGTCGGAATTCATGACCTGTTGAACCACAGTGCGAACAATGCTAGAGACATTTGGGCATGTGGAGGCATAAAACGTTGTGCTCAGTTGAGCATTGGATGGATATAGTGTTAATGCTGCAATGGTAATTGCCTTGAGTACCAAGTAAGTTGAAAAAGATAAAGAAGGCATTTTTTCTTGATTTCTATTTACTTTGGCTTTCTCTTGTTTGCATGATTAATTGGTTAACACATCTAAACCAATATATAGGAAAATGTCATGTCGTTCTGCCAAGTTGACACAAGAAAACCGTGTTTGGTGAATACAAATATAAAATAAAAACAACGAATAATATTGTTGATTTTTGGTGGCATGAGGAAGATTCTTCTCTCTTTCGTGTGATTTATACATTTGGTAACTTTAATTTAGAAATTTTGAACTTGTTTTGACGTATTAGGTGCAAAATTTTCCGAGAAAAGTCAAATGAATGAAGCGGCTAGAATAATCAGCTAAATGATCAGCAGAAACTTTTGAAATTCGGTGCATGCATATATGAGTGTGTGTGTGTGTGTGTGTATATATATATATATATATATATATATATGAGAGTTTCTGCCTAGACCGATTAATTTTCTCATCGTTAAATTTAATTAAAATTAAATTAAAATAAAAAAATATACAGAATAATGTAAATTTAACTGTTAAAAAATTTAGATTCCTACCTTATCTTTTGACTACAGAATTAATAGTGAAAAGTAATTTTTTTAAAAATTTTTTCCTTTGAAAAAGGAGTGAAACTTGTTCACTCAAACGTCTTATATTGAAAGTTGATACTGTGGACGTATGCTCATTATAAATTTATAGGCATTATTTTAAGTCCGGCATCTAGCTGTATACTATTGGCAAGTGTAACAGTTTTTGTACTGTATAGTATTGGAAGTGTAACATTTTTTGTACGGACATATTTTTTTAGTGTAACATGATAATACTAAAGCAAGTATAATGTAATATGGTGAAAGATTATATTTTATAAAGTGTTACATTAAAAAAAGTAAGTATAATGTAATATGGTGAAAAATTATATTTTATAAAGTGTTACATTAAAAAAATGAGTGTTACATGAACGCACAAATAATATCATGTGACAAACAAAAATATTACTGCATTTACTGGATCAGTACGGCCACCGCATATCCTATAAATTTATACTACATCTTCAAGAGAAGCCTTTAAGTGTTTTTTTTTTTTTTTTTTTTTTTTTTCTTCTTCAAAGAGACCAACAGACATATTATTTGCCTCTTAACATTACATAAAAAAAAAGTAGCAGAAAAAAAGATCTGAACAATATACATTAGTGAAGTTAGACAGCCGAAAATAGTAGTTAATTACTCTGACTAGAAAACTCAAAAAGATTTCCAATAGGCAATTAGGCCCTATATTAGTGGAATTACTTTTTTCTCTTTTTTACTTTTTTTTAAAAGAGGACATTGCATTCTAAATCAGAAAGATACAAACATTAGTTCAAACATGAGAGGTCATAACGTATTTAGCGACTCAATCCTAATTAAAGATCGGAACCACTAGTAAATTCGATTGAAACGCTCTAGGAGGTAGTACGTGTAACGAGTTCTAAAGAAAGAAAACTGAAAAAGCACACAACTAATCGAGCACACAAATGCCTCTTTCAAACATACCACTACAATGGGTGAATAACTCCGATTGATTGAGATCGAGATATTGAAAGCATCAGGGCCTATAACAACACCGCAAAGAAAGACTTGCGGACAAAGACTTGCGGACTAGATATCAACACAATATCAGAAGGTGGAGAAACCACTTCCGGAACCAAACAGCACAATAGAAATAAACTAAAACTAAATGACATAAACATCAACGCATTTATTTGATAAGCGCACAAAACAAAAGGCAAAGCTCAAATGACACTGGTCGAATCTCCGATGACAAGTTGACCACTACCGTCGATGAGCAGGGGAGCCTCAATGCTGCAGGCAAGGAAACGCTAGAAAAAGGCCTAGCCATTGCTACCACCCGCCGCCGCCAACTAAGGAAAACTTTTCACCCATTGAGCCACCACCCCACCGGGGCCGAAATTGTTGGTTTCTGAAATGATTTCGGATGAGAAAGCCTGTATTTAGTGGATCGTGTATAACAAAAATTTACATAAAACTTTGAATAATCTACAAAATACATTAATTTATGCACTAATAAATTAATCAAATTAATTTATTTACCTAGCAAATGATTAGGACAATAACTTGAATTCTTTGACCTCAAACGTTCCTCGCTCCAAGCTAGTTTAGAACACCCAAATATTCCTCATAATTTTCTTGAATCTACAAAGATGTGTGTGTGGGTACACCTGAAATAAAACGGAATTAGCGAATAAACACTCAAGGTTTCCACGAACACCAACACATGCATGACGTGAAAATTTTAGAAAAAATTTACCTTCCCACAATCTATAAAAAACCGGCCACACTATGCTAGGGAGAGCAAAATTGTGTTCTCCAATTTTCTGTAATTTTTTATTTATAGAGTTTTAGTTAAACTCCCAGAAAAAGTCTAATCTTTATCTCCAAGATAAAGCTTGATAATTATCTCCAACTTTAAATTTTGATTTTGAAACAAAATCTCTCTCCCTTATCGACACGTCAATATTGACTCAAATTCAAATTCCAATTTAAATCAAACTTAAATTAATTTAAATTTCAAATTGGACAACTTATCAAATAAGACATTTGAATAACTTTGAAGAGCAAGTAACTGAATCCCAGAGGGATTCACACAATAGTGTATGTTCACACTATGTGAACACCTTCACGTGTGTTTCAAAATTCAAATTTAAATTTAAATAATAACATTATTTAATTTATAATTAATTCTCAATTAATTATCCTTAAGCGTTATTTTTAGAATTTTATAATTTTAAAATTCCCATTTTGCCCTCAGTGTCTTGTAGAATTACAAGGACAACGTGATGACTCATGGACTTATAATTTTGAGCTCATATACAATTAATAATTAATTTAATTAATTAATTTTAAAAGTTACTCCACTATAAACTTGAAATTGCACTCTCGTAATTATTGACATAAATTACTTCTAAACAGTGAAGTGCCCATTTGATATGGTCATTGTATATAGATCAATCCTCTATAAATAATTCTTAATTAGAGCTAGGTAAAATCCGTTAACCTCTCTAATTACGTCTTTATCCTTAAGTACCATTGATTCTCTAATGGACTGTGATTCATAAAATAAATTCATGAATTAGAGCTCCTATTAGTCCAAGTACCGAATCCACCTTCAAGGGAATTATTTATCTACTTTTTTCTCAAGAAGGAATGGATTACATAATATTCCCGGCTAACCACTTCATCATGTCTCCAAAATACAAGGACTAGGATTCAGGATCTCAAAATCCATACTGAGTAAATCAAAAGACATAAATCCACAAATAGGAGTTTGCTAATAAGTCAGGATTAAGATCATTTTATATATGACCATCGGTAGCCTCAATTAGAATTTCTATACTTAAAGGAAATTATCAGAAATTCATATTGTGTATGTGTCCCTGTTCCACATAATCTCATTATGCATAATACACTCATTCAATATCTCGCCATATTAATAGTGCGGATAGCATTGCTCCATTCTAAATGAGAATGACATGTATTAGTAATGTTTCAATTAAAGATTCCGAACTTTAATTAAATTTGTTACGAATGTCGTTTTGATTATTATCTTAAATATTATCATCTCGCATATACAACTTATATACAATATTTAAGGTCACATAAATAATTATGGAATTTTCACTGATATTCATAAAATATTCATTAATATATGCACATAAAATAATGAATACACTATTTTATTAAATAAATAATAAATATCTTATTACATCTCATGCTTCTAGGACACCATTCCCAGTAGAAACTCCCATAACGTAGCAACACCAAGGCACCCACACGTCCCTAGCCTGCAACGAAAAGCGCGACCTCTCCACCTCATCCTCCATCTCCGGCCGTTGCATTGCACCACAAGGGGCATAACTTTGCCGGCGTACGGATGTTCCCAGAAATGGCAGCCAAGTACACACCGGAAAAGCCCTCTCCACCACCCTTTTTTCCCACCCAAATAACAGCCTTGTCGACTCCTCATTGTGAGGATCCATGCCGTGCCACCCAAGCCGCCTTTCATGGGGCCGGGAGTCCGGAGCCAAGCCTAAGGGCGGTGACGGACTTTGGCCCTTTGAAACTCAGTGTGAAAGAGGCGCAAAGAAAAGCAAGAGGGAGAGGAAAAAAAACCCTAGCGAAAAGAAAAGTAAATTCAAGTTCCCCAAGAAAGGGTAAAACTAGTGGTTGTTTTCAAATACAAGAAGTGTGGAAAATTATATTAGTGAATTCCATCAAATTATTAATCTGCTTTATGCCTTACCATCTACAATGAATGGTTAAAAATATGTTTAAAAGTCAACATTCCGCTCCCTAATGGATTAAGAAAAGATTACAAATGTCAAAAGTGCAAAAAGGATGCTCCATTCGTGTTCGTTCCGCATTAGAATTTATTGCTTTCACGACAAGTAAAGTTTATGGTTGTGGCCACACTAGGTAGTAGGTACTATATGTAGTTGATAGGTGTATGGTTTGACAAAATTCTCCCAGCTACATAAATATGATTGGCTTTTCTAAGACCAATATGGATTTAATTTTACTGTACATATATATATATATCCGAATACTTTGAGATATACAAAATTCGACTCACTAAATATTAAGATCTACAATAATCTCATTTTTTAATTTTTTTTACATGAAAAAAAAAACAAGAGCCTTTTAAAGAGGAAAAAAAAAAAAAGGAAAGAAAGAAAGAAAGGAAGAAAAAGCTGTTAACTTGGGGCACAAAGGAGCGTCTAATCGCCGTATGCAACTGGGTTTCCTGTGATTTCTGCTGATATTGTCTTGACTGATTCTGCTTGTTGAAATGACAATTTTTTGGCGAAGTGGCCTTCCTAACCACAGTTGAACTAGCTATCGGTGCCAAGCTTGAATTCTCCTGATGCTTCTTCTCACACTTAGAGCATAAGAGATGAGCAGTGTTACTCTTCTTCTGAGGCTGATTCTTTTAATTCTTATCGTATTAAAGTTTTCCTCCAATTGTCACTAGAGAAAATTAAAGGATTTATCCTTATAAGT